CGTGGAATCGGGCGCACCCGTGGAATGGTAATTCGGCGTTAAAGTTTTCATTTTAATGGTACACTATTTTGAGCAGGTTTATGGAGGACGAGAAGTCTTCTCTCCGGCGACGCGGCGTAGTTAAACGAGGAAACCACCCCCTGCCACCTTCTTCCCTAGCGCCCTATGTACCTGCGTATCGCTGTATTAAAATAATAAAAATCCTTTTAATTAACGCCTTGGTGAGTTTTTGACCATCCAGTGACTCGTAAATCCTCGCGGGGGAACGATTGCTCGATTTCGAAAAATCCCTTCAGCTGACTTTTCACTCGCGTTTCACTGGCGGAAAGCAGCCCGAGACTGCGAGTGAGCAGTCAATTGATAGGGCATTTTCCTTTCTTCCTTCTGCATGGATGGAACGATATATCTGTAATGCAACTATAATGCAAGATCGATTCTGCCAATCCCGGCGAAATTCTCGAGCGGGATTTCAGCGAGTCGGCTGAGGTAACGGAAGGGAGATCGCCGCTCCGGAACGGCGGCTCGCCGGGCACCGGAAGTCGAGTGTATTTCTGTGTATCTCATTAATTTCACTCGATATAATAATGGCTCCGCAGCGGCGCGCACCCTCGATGCCGAGCGGCGCTGATTAATGGAGGGCGCGTTTTGACTCGCAGAATTCCCGGGCTCGCCGTTTGACGGGAAGGCGCCCTTTGTGCGAGCGGCGCTCTCGACTCGAAAGCCACCCGGAATCTCTGATTTATTACGAATTTGAATAATGTCGTTCAAACGCGAAACCCGATTAATCCTCTCGGATAAATGCACGCGGCCCCCACGCGCGCACGTCGCCGCAAAGTACCGCGCGCGGTTCGATTTAAAACGCGTTTCGAATCCAATGGCGGAAATCGATTCGGTAGGCACTCGTATACAATACCTGGGCATTTGTACCTCTTCATAAAGACGTGCGAAAAGCGAAAAGATGATCTTAACACTATGCCGTCCGGCGACACCACAGTGGTGACGTGCGCAAACTAGCGGTCAACGGCCGGTGACACCACAGTGGTGATGTGCGCAAACTTTTGGCCAACGGCCGGCGACACCACAGTGGTGTCGATAACGTCAAAAACGGCCGGCGACAAGTCAAGTGATCCGAATTAGCGCTGCCGGCGCCAAGCGAATAAATATTTACGAATCGTCCGGACGGCAAAGTGTTAAAACAACCAAATTCCGTTTTTCGTGCAACCAAACGCAGTATTGAGATTAACTTAAAAAGGGGTAAAACAATTGAAGAATAGGGATGCTGGGTGAAAAGGTACGGGTAAGTAGGATGTATCCATTCGTGCAATTTGTTAAGGACGAATGTCAAGGGGGCAGTCAGGAAGGATACAGGCTTTTAATGGAGTCGACGATTCTTATCTCGGGCGAGCTGCCTTGAGTACTGCCACTCGGTGAGAAGTACTTAAATAGATTTAGTGAAGCCTGTTAGACTTCGTTCTGGGAAGGTTAAACGGACGTTCACTGTCGCCACGGCGAATTCGGTTGGCATTCTCGTATCGTGCCTTGTACGTTGGCCGTGTAGGGTCTACCTGTCCGAGGCGATCTTGTCTCGCGACGCCTCAAACTCGTCTTTCGTGTCGTTCCCCTTGTAACGTGGCGGGCGCGAGACAAGTGACCACGTCCCGTCATCTCCTGGACACCCGACATAAAGAAACTCTCTCGATCAGCTCTCGCCGATCTGACATCGGTTCGTCTCGACGTAGACCGGCAGTCGATACAGGTACGTGTATATGTACGCGACCACATGTACATACACGTATGTACCGGGTGAGTCGCCGGACATGTTTGCCAGGAATATCGTCTAATCCATCACAGCAAGAAGAACCGGAAACAAAACTGCACAAGTACCCGAAAGAATCCAAAACCGCCCAATGAATCTCGGTCGAGGTCCCAACCCATTCATACCTGGAATCCTAATTACTCCCAGCAGAAGATGAAAGAGGGGGCCTTCACCGAAATTTTCAAAATGAAACAAATCTTGTTCGGCGCCATTATCAATCATATCAACCCTTCAGGCGGGGTTGGCCGAGGATTGTTAACATTATATCTGAATACGATATGCATCCATCGCATTGAATACATAGGATGAAAGGGAACGCCACTATAGTGGCGCTTCGTTAAAAACCGTCACTTATGAGAAAGCCACGTTTGTTAGTTAACAGATTTTATTGTTACATTCAGTGGGTAAAAAAATAACGAGTGTATATTGCGAAGCCGTTGCCGGTAATCGGGGCTAATAGAGTGTATTGGATGCAGGGTTAATGATTAAAAAAAAGAAAATTCTAGAATGTACGCAGCGACCCACCTTGTATACCTAGGAGAAGAGGCAGCGCGTCGAGCACGCGCCACGCCCTGCACGGTCGTGTAAAAAGGGCCTGGCCGATCTCGGAAGGTAACGGCGAGCTCGCGTATCTGGAAGTTGATCCGTCCGTGCCATCTTTCCGATGGACCGGACTAGCTGTCCGTTGGAGCCGCGGGCGCGAGCCAATGGGGTCAGCCGAGCCGGGCGGGACGGTCGAGCTAGGCGAAACGACCTTATACGCGTCACGGCCGTATACGTGGTAGGGCACGCGCGCAAGAGCGGATACCGGTAGGTAAGGTAGGTACCTATCTAGACCCGAGTCCGGCGACTGGTCATCTCTCTCCCCCACGCAGTCCGGGCGTTCGCGCTCACTCCGTCCCTCGTTACACCTGGGCTCTCATCCGTATGGTGCTCTTCTTCGAATCCTTCATAATGTATTCCACCGGGGCGGAAAACATTTCCGATGGCCATATCCGAGCAAACGCTTGCTCGGCGCGATTCGATGATAATTGGATTCCTCCCTGTTTTGCGGTCGCTTCGGTGGAAACGCGCAAAAAGGCCTAGGCAGTGTATGAGTCGATCTCGATCCCGTCTCTCCTCTACGAGGGTATAATGAGACTCGTTAATTAATTTCAGAGGTTTCCCATTTCTTATCACCGATTTGTTCCGACGGAAGTGCCGATATGTGATCTTTGGAAATTATGAACTTTTATTGACAACGGATAGAAATTAAGTTAAAGACGTTTATAAGGATGTGTGGATGTCGCGAAGGGGGCGATACATTTTAGACATTGGGGTATTGCACGAAAGCTTGATTTTGTTTTGTAAATTTGTTGTACCGTTCTGGGAACGTATAAGAATAGTTATTATTGCAGCGGGTGGGATATCCTGCCTTGACGTCCTTCCAAGCCTCCCTGTTGTTTCTTTTACCTAATTTTTACCCGAAACTCTTGAAACACCGCCCCGCAAAAGTACCGGAAACAGACGTTTCGCCGTGCTCGGTGATAAAGAGTAAAAAATGGAGGAGCCGGCAAGATTTATGGAATGCCTTCTGCGAGCTCCAAGATTTGCCGGAGTAACGAGGAAACTTCCTCGGACCTAGGATCTCGATCGTTCATTATTTATCGCGATAATTTACGTGCTACGGCGAAGGGAATTCCCGTCGGCGATAAGTCAGCTGGAATTGTTTCATGACGATTCCTTTCTTATAAATAGAGCCGAGAATATATTTCTATGTTCCTTCGAGTTATTGTAACGATTATACTTGATAAAAAGAATTTATATAAAAAAAACTCACCGTAATATGACTCACCGATATTACGGGTAATTTGATGCAACCAATGGTAAATTTTTGCTTTTCGCTGAATTGGTGGGACATTTTTTCCATCGGTCGAGGGCATTTATTTCCCAGAGAACAGTAAAGGTCACCTATGGACGGTGCAAGGGAGGGAAAGAAATGAACGCGGGGGCTAATAAAAACGAAGGAAGCTCGTAAGGTTCTTTCTCACGGATTAGAAGGCAAGACTATAACCTGCTCGTAGGTTCATACGCGCAGAGCCCTCCCGTAACAGGGAAGGTTCGAGTTCTGAACACCCCCGCATCGGACTTAATTAATGGACGATAAACGACGGCCTCCGAGCCGAACGACCGTTCGTTCCGAAATACGTATCGGACGTATTACGGACGGATACGAAACGTAATCGGAACATGTCTTCGTTTACGTTAGTCCGAGATATAGTCCCTACCCGTAGCCACGGTTCAGCTCCCACGTTCGTAAAAATAATTGCCTCGAAGAGCAGCTCTTGGAAACGGATCAATTTCGGAATCAACTTCACCGATTGGTTAAAACGTGGGTACATAAAAGGTGGCATTTTCTAAAATTCTTCTAAATATGTTTATTCCAGGGTGTTCGTTCACGTAGAGCGTTAGAGTGGAATTAGACGTAGGCTTGAAAGTGTTAAAAGTGACGCGGCTATATTTTGCGTCATTGGAGAGAGTAGAAATAGTTATTCGTAATCAAAGCGTTTATTAAATTTAATTTGTACAGAGTCCGTTTGGTCGTCGTTAGATGAAGGCAAGATGGCGGCTTCCGGGGAGTTCGGATCGTTCGGGGGACCAGTATTCGTCCACTCGGTGGTCTTACTCCCTTTCGGTCCTCGGCTGCCGTTCCTTCCGTCCCTTCGCCTCGCTTTCCTCTCCCTTCGCCCTGTTCGCCGCCAATCTACGTGCACTCCCCTCTCCTTGGCCTACGCCGGAGTGGGTCGCGACTCACGACCCTCTCGGAATAACGAGTCTCATTAATCCAATTAACCAGTAAATAATGGGATAGCATTTTCGTATTTACGAGAGAATACTGCCGGCCCTAATGGAGTTTTGAGCTGACTATCAATATATTCTTGGCTGCCGGGCGAACAAAGCGCGGGTCATTCTCTCACTTAGTTAACCGGGCTTCCGACGGCGGCGCTGGGATCGCTGCCGGAGACTCGCCGCCACTGGGGAAGCCCACGGAGCTCGGGGATATAAATTTTCCCTCCTTCCTGCGTCCTGGGAATCAAATTTACTAATTCTCGCGTGAAACTTTCAGGAGAGACGTCGCGCTCGTGACGCCCTCGGCGGAAGAATCGACGCCCAGACGTCGCCCACCACCCAGTCTGAGATCCAATCAGCGATTGTCGCCGTTCTCGAGGGACCCAACGTGGAACCAAAACACGTAAGCTTTTCCTTTACCCTGTTAAATTGCACGTTTCATACACGTCAATACACTGATAAGTGCGCATAAACAGCAGGCAATGCGGTGTCTTTCAGAAACCACAGCTAGGCTTTTTTCCTGCACGTCGTGGGAGGTGACCGGAGTCTCGGGGTCGTTGTCGATGGTCGGTTGCTTTTGCACAATTATTGCGAATATTTGATTATCTTCTGGGTGAGGCCTAATGAAACATCCGGGAATAAGGAGAGTCTGCTGTGGCCCAGATTTGGACCAGCATTTTCCCAGGTTTCGACCGTTCAAGAATATCATTCCTTTGCCTAACTTGCTGACGTCCAGGACACCATCCACCGGTTGCATGGGTTCCATTGGAGCTGTGAAGACTGCACGATAGAAACCGAATCCACGTTTTCTCGCTGGCCGTTGTTTCATGACTTGGACGGCCCGATAGAGGTCCGTCGGCTGACTTATTGGAAATATGGACATGGTCCAGTCTCTTAGCACGATAGAGTCCAGATGGACGTCGGAGATGATCCCTTTGAGCCCGCCGATGGGATTTTGGGAGGCGTATCCTTGCTCTTCCACCAGAATTTGTATTCTATTCCCAGCAGAAAGTTTCGATGCCATGACCGTATTGCGTTTATGGTTCAAGATCCCAACCAGCGTGCGCCGAATGTAAACATAACCTCGATCGCGAATGCCCGAGCAACGAATCTCGACGTGGGATCGGCTGTTGGAGAAATGTTTGGGAATCGTTGTCTCGTACAAGACCATGCCGTAAGCGATTCCGAGCTGTCCAAATGTTAGAGGAAACGCGTGCTTGGTTTCCGTGGAGTTAAAACCTCTACGCACCTCTGGATCTAGGAAGGAACCCAAGGAGACGTACTCGATATCCTTGTATAGTGCTGGCGAGGTTTTTAGAAGCTGTGTAGGGGACTTCTTAAGGGTGACGTTGGCGTGCTCCAGGAGAACTTTCTGAACCTTAACGTACCTGTCAGTGAGCTCACCACTTTCGGATATCAAGGCATCGTAATCGTAGGAGGTGATCATACCCATGCTGAAGTTCCCGGCATTTCCGGCCCTTTCAAAATTGGTACCTCCGGCGAACATGTAGAGTATCACGGAACAGTCGAATTGTATGATATCTGCCAAAGTCTTAGTCAGGTCGTCCAAAGTGAAGGACGTTCTTGGACCGCCCCAGGACCAAGCTGTTCCGGTTCGGAGCTCGACGAGTTTCGGGAACCCAGGAGAAAGCATCTCCAAGTTGGAGAACAGGCTGCTGACTGACTCGTTGAAGGTCTCCTTGTATTCCCACGGAGTGATCCGGAATCCCGGTAGTACCCCTTGGATCCTGCCACAGAAGAGGCTCTTGTACGCGTTTTGGTCCATCGTGAAGAAGATCGTCTCTTGACCAAGGTAGGAAATGAAGATCCGCAGAAGCCAATCGGCCCCAGGACACTCTTCACTCGGGCCTATGTCGCTATCGATTTGCACCATGATCACCGGTCCTCCGTTAGACAGCAACATCTTCGAGAGCTTTGGAAGTAGACGGGACAACCATGCCTCGGCGTACTTGCGATACGCCCAGCTTTGACGTTGCAGTCCTTCCCGACTCTCCGAAACGTTGATTGTCAGGAGCCAACCAGGAAGACCTCCGAGACTGCGATCGGCATCTGGTCATGATTCGTCTTGTGTTAGGGTATTCATTTGAAACATGGAAAATAGGGTCTTTGAACGACTTAACCTAAGATATCGAATAACCTCTAATAAAGTTCAGTGAAGGGCTCGTGTCGGTAACATTTCGAAACATTTTAGACAAGATTAATTTATGACAGATAGGCGTTGCATAACCTACCGATGAACGGTCCAGCTCGAATAATCACAAAGAGGTCCAATTTCTGAGCCAGTTCAATGAATCTGGTGATGTTGGCATCTCCATTCCACTCGTAGACCGCCGGTTTTGGCTCATGTGTCGCCCATTCTATCGCGGTCGATACCGCGTTTAATCCGGAATCTTTTAACTTTCTCAAGCGATCTTCCCAGCTGCAAGATGCGATTCTGAAGTAGTGGATCTCACCAGCGTAGATGTGGAACTTTTTCCCGTCCAAGTAGAAGTTCTCATTCGTCGAGTTAAGAACGCGAGGTTTCAACGGAACCGTCTCGTGGACATTTTCCGACAAGGATTCCAATATCGTTGTTATAACCAGGAAGTGAAAAACTCGAGGGAATCTTGGCGTCATTAATATAAGGATTTTTAATCCTCGTGGCAATTTTGACGATTGATCGACGATGTCGACTAATGTCCGCAGTTGACCAAGATTTTGCACGTGCTCGGTTTAAATACGACAGACTACTCAGAGTTTTATTTTGAGTTTTTTTATCCCAGGTACTGTTTTATCATTTGACTGCAAAAAGAATCCACTATAACCTGAACTACACGCAAGCGACCGCACCGGAGCACGAACTACGGAAAACCAGGGAAGAAAATCTAAATGAAGATCATGACATCTGTCAACCTAGTATTTTTCACGATGCAAAGTAGACTAGGTATGTTCCTACGGGGGTCTTGTTTCTTTTTCTCTCGTTTTGCGCCTTTCAAAACGCCACAGTTCCCTATAGTTGGCCGTTTCTCCTGATTTAGGTCCTAGGGTATCAATGGGATACCAGAAATACGAGCAAGCCAATAAAACCCGCCTCGGCGTTACGAATAGTCGAAAGGAGGCGAGGTTCTCGCCGATGATTTGCATATTCGTTTGAAACAATATCCCTGAACGGGTGCGTCAGGTCGTTCCGGGTTCGGCGGGTCGGGGCGAGCTCGAAGGGGATGCTCTAGGTGGCGGGTCGACTCTTCAAGAGGGCCAGGTCGAAGGGATGCCGAAGCAGGGCGAGAAGAGGGTGTTTGGCTGTTTCAATTAAAATAAGCATACGCTACCGACTGGCTGCTGCCGCCCTCCTCCTTGCCGTTCACCCTCCAGCGGCGCCGTTCCACGGCCCTTAAAAAAAGGAGCGAGGTTCGCGGTATTGCCGACTGCGACAGACGTCGAATACGAAAGCAGTCACGAAACTGGAAATGGCGCTAATCTTTCCGCCGTCTACGGGAAATTTGACAGCGCCCGAACTGCCAGGAGACCGTAATGACTCTCGGCGCTGCCCGTAATCGAAGAGGGTCTTTAATTAAAAGTTACTCGCTTAACGCCACCTAAACACCGTGGCAGTTTGCATTCCAGGGGCGAGCTGGAATATTATGCATTAGGGCTACACGGTGTTTTGTACACTTGTTTCTCATGAACGTTTCTTTTCATTAAGGTGAAGTGAAAGACGTGGAGGAACTTGATCGACGTCGATAAAGAAGATTTTTCTAAATGCCCACGTTGCCGACGTTCTTTTTTATATTGACAGCTGGGTCGAATTATATTGGGTATTGTACCAAATGGCATACTCCACCTGTCGTTTTCGTACAATATATATCAAGAAATCGAAGTAAAACTCCAGAAATCCTCTGGATTCGTGCTTTCTGGGGCCCTAATTGACTGCAGAGGGACCCCCTGCGCCATCTGTGATTTCCAGGTCAATTAAATTTTCACTCCGAGACCTCGTATTCCCATCGTTTTAGCATAGAAGCGCATACAACACTTTTTCTGCCTTTATCCCGTTCAAATTCGAGTTTATCGATTACCAGAGTGTTCTAAATTCTCGTAAAATTGTCCTGAGCTTTTAGTTTCTCATATTAGAGCCTTCGATATTGTATATTGATCGAAATATGAGAGCTCGACGCCATTTTGGTTCTTGTCGTGGCTGAGTTAAAAAATCCAAATTTTCAATGTGTCAGGACAATTCTTAGATGATCAGGAGTGACGTGTCAAAGTTTCGGACAGTTTGGTCTTATACCCTTAAAAAAAAGTGTTGTATTCAAATCGACTGATTTGAAGGGGTTTTCACTTCACCTTAAGAACAAGTAACGCCGAAGGGGCATCATTTAATTCCGGCCATTCTAACCTAACTTTGAGGTAAAATGTCGATTTCTTCGATATTCTTGGAAAATGTGTAGGGTACATTTGGTAAAATACTGTGTATAGGAATACGTGGGAACGCAATTTACCCAAATCTATTTTGCAGGGAGTCGCGAGCATAATATGGGGTTGAATTTGAAAATTCTGGGGGATCGAGGCGTTTAAGCGTGCACGGGGTGGGGAAGGAAAGCAGCACGGAGCTCCTCGGGGGCGGTTTTAATAAAAACGCGCCTTCGCGTATATACGAGGCCCATAAAACCAGAACGTCGAGGCGTTGCGTTGGGTAGAGCGGAGAACCGAGTAGGGAGAAAAGAGGAGAAGAGGAAGAAAGAGGAGAGGGAAGGGGAGGAGGGAGTCAGCTAATATTTTCAGAACACCCCTAACTCCCAGTCTTACCTCGGTCTCGCCCCCCGCGTGTATATATAAGATCCCTTAAATGGGAAATCGAAACGTTTGGGAGATAACTCTCCTCGAGTGAGAATGTATTCAAAATGGCGACCAGCGAGCGGGTGTTATGGGTGGGATGGGAACGGTGGGTAACCCCTACGATGATACGAAACATATTCCGCCTTTAAGAACACGAGGGCGGCACCCTTCTGCGACTGTAAAATAAAAAAGGCTGGAATTCATTATTCCCGATCTTCCTTCTTGCGCTCGCGGGTTTCGAGCTACCGCTCGAAATGATTCCCGGAGAGTTCCATCTTTTCTTTCCCTTTTCTCGGATAACTGTGTTATACCGAGGTGGCTCCACCGCCACCGCGAGATTCCCCGCAGAAGCCGAGGAAGGAATCGAAAATCGTTTCAATTTTCAGCGCGGAGGTTGGCGTCCCTTTTTGAGGCCTTGGGCCGCCTTTTATCGTCGAACTTCGGGAGGAGGACTCGATTCACCCTCGATGCCGAACCCCTCGTGTCAGAAATCTGCACGGGAAGAAAGATGGTTTCGATACACGCTAAGAAATGGGGCGGAAGAATTCCGGGGGTTTTTAGAGTACTGGTGACGTACTGTAGTTTTGATAAGTTTCCTTTCCTTATCAAAAGATTTCATCGTGACTGATTGGAGGTATCCTGGCAGTTTAATGATTTTTCACGAACATGAAGTATTTTTAATATGCACAATGATAACGATTATTGCTCGGCGTAGGGATTTTTTTTCCTTCACTTTGAAGATTTATCTCCAGCGTGTCGAAAGTTCGGAAATTTTTACGACCCATTTCTTACCGTGCGGTCGAGGGATCACCCCGTGCGAAACTTGTACCTTCTTTTATTCCTATGAATTCACTTAACTTTATCGCAAATAGTAAACATTTTTATGGATGCCATTAACATTTCAGAGGGTTTTATTTTCTTCTTCTCTTTTTCAAGGAAACCACGTTAAGCCGAGATGAGGCCATCTCTCCCCGAGATTCTAAGCGAAGTCGAGAGAGGAATTGAAAATCGTTTCAATTTTCAGGGAAGTACGTTGCATCTCTCCTCGCGATTTCGCGTCCGCTTTCATCAACGAAATAGATAAAGAACAGCTCAAAGTTCTCGCAACGACCAAACATTTCCCATCTGCCCTTTTGAAAGAAAAGTACACGAATTCATCGGAGAAAATCGTTGCGTAAGATACATCCATATCTATTGCATTATCTCCCATTCTGAGCATCTCCATCATAGATTTACATTTATTCCGGTAGGTCTTCGCCATCTTCGCTAAGACTTCGTATGCAGAAATAAAAAATGTGTCGCTGAAATTTTATCAGCCCGCGTTATTAAATTTTATATTTCACAGCATTCTTATCAAACGGTACACGACAAAACCATTAGTTCTAGCTCATCGATTGACGACACGTGACGTTGCACTGTGGCAATATTAGGGAATGGCAAAAATGAATATAAAAAGTACTACCCTAAACGATGGAAAGTTAGTACTTTATTATAATGCAGAGGCGCCTTCCATTTAGTACTTTGACACCGTGAGGTTCATTCTTAATGTGAAGTGAAACCCCCTTCAAATCAGTCGATTCGAATACAACACTTTTTTTAAGGGTAAAAGACCAAACTGTCCGAAACTTTGACACGTCACTCCTGATCATCCAAGAATTGTCCCGACACATTGAAAGTTTGGATTTTTCAACACAATTTTTTAACTCAGCCCAGACAAGAACCAAAATGGCGTCGAGCTCTCATATTTCGATCAATATACAATTATCGAAGGCTCCAATATGAGAAACTAAAGGGTCAGGACAATTTTACGAGAATTTATAACACTCTGGTAATCGATAAACTCGCATTTGAACGGGATAAAGGTAAAAAAAGTGTTGTATGCGCTTCTATGCCAAAACGATGGAAATACGAGGTCTCGGAGTGAAAATTTAATTGACCTGGAAATCACAGATGGCGCAGGGGGTCCCTCTGCATTCAATTAGGGCCCCAGAAAGCACGAATCCAGAGGGTTTCTGGAGTTTTACTTCGATTTCTTGATATATATTGTACGAAAACGACAGGTGGAGTATGCCATTTGGTACAATACCCAGTATAATTCGACCCAGCTGTCGATATAAAAACCAACGTCGGCAACGTAGGCATTTAGAAAAATCTTCTTTATCGACGTCGATCAAGTTCCTCGACGTGTTTCACTTCACCTTAACCACTTTGATACAACTTTCAAAGCGTCCTGTGTCACTCGTTTCATATTGACCCTGTCCTCGAGGGCTGTTTGCTCTCTGGCGCATATAACGTGCGAACGCACTGCACACGTGCTAAGCCGTATTAAGTACTTGGAGGGTTGATCGGGGGTACGAGGAAAGGATGGCGAGAGAGGTGGTCGGGACGGGCCGAGATGTATCCATTTATCCAGAAAATAATCCTCGGACGGTATCGGTCCATCGGAAGCTATAAACGGAGAACAACGCCATTGTTACGCCTGCCACCATGGCAGCGAAGCCGGAGGGATGAAGGCGGGGGCGGAGATTAGAGATTATTTACGCTATGAAGATAACGTTTTTATCTCGCGGTACTAATCAATCTAGAAAGGGGTGCCTCCGGTGGGGGTTACTTTCACGGTAGAGCGAGCGAGAAATGCTGCGTGTCACGACTTATTCATTTATCCTTCGCCTGTACGCGCGGAATACAGGGTGATTTATCGGACGAACACGGGGATTATAATGTACCACTTGGATCGCGGACCCTTTTTATCTCCCCCATGCTCATTTTTTGCCATTTTTTCCTTCGCCTTAGTTTTTTCGCCA